AGAGAGAGTGTGTGTGCGTGTGTGTGTGTGCGTGTGTGTGTGTATGCACGAAAGAGGGTGCACCGCGAGCGGCGTGTGTTGCGGCGGGGGGAGGGCGGAGGGGGAGAGGAACGGGACGGACAGGCGCCTACGGCGCGGATCCGAGTGGCGCCACTGCTAACGTAAGCGTCAGCGTTAGCGCCGGTCGCGCGTCCGGACCGGCCGATATTATCCAGGAAGTTACGAGCCGCACCTGTCCCATCATACCTCTCCCACCCATCGGGCCACGTCGTACTCGTCGTACTCGTCGTACTCGTCGTTGCTTTTACACAGGGCCGTCGCTACGTGTTTCTCGCTCTGCCGCCGATGCAGGTGCTCGCTGACACCGTTCGACACTCTCTCTCTTTCTCTCTCTCATCCCGATTTTTGAACGTGAAAGTGGACTCTTCCGGTTTCGACCTGCGGTTCTCGCATCCGGTGTACAAAACGTACGAGAGAGAGAGAGAGAGAGAGAGAGAGAGAGAGAGAGAGAAAGAGAGAGAGAGGAGAGAAAAAAAAGGCGGCGGATGTAAGGTCGAGTTGGTATCGTCGTAGGATTCCCCTCGAATCTCCACGAATGGGGGAGAAACGCGACGCTGGTCGAAATAATGGGCCACCGGGAGACGACGCGAGGAGCCGTGACGCCGAGGCTCACGGGTCGGAGCGATCACCGAAATAGAAACGAAATAGATGCTTTTATTTCGTGCGAAAACCTTCGCCCGAAACCTATGGCCGGCTCGGACTCGGGTTTCAGGTGCGCGAATTATTCACTGTCCGGAGCCACCGGAATCGTTGGAATGCGCGTTGAAACGGAGCATTAATCCAGCGATTTTTCGCGAGTTTCAGGAAATATAAGAAAGAGTTCTTGCCATCGAGGGCTTAAACGGGGTATTCTGGTAATCCGGCTAGTAAAAGTCGACTTTTTGGGTATTTTTTTCTACGGAAACCATGATACATTTTGGTATGCAGTTTTCGCACACAGATTTATTCGCATTTAAAGAGTATTTACAATTTTTCTTTTTTTTTTTAACGAAATTAATGAAAGTTGTGGAAATTATATAGCCTTAGGGCTCGAATGGCTGATGTGATTCCGGTCCATTTGGTTATTTGAAACTAAAAAACCAAAATGCATCTTAACTAGTATAAATATGGTCATCGCATGAATCACGGATGAACAGCGAAATTTCGAAAATTTAAAAAATGGCAGCATTTTGAAATTTAAATATCAATTTTCCTTGTGTTTTTTGTCTTTTGGGTGGTAAAAAAGAAAAAAAAGAAATAGAAAAAAACGTCAGATTTTGAAATCCGTGGTTTGTGCGATAAAAATACATCCGGCAAAGATCTCCTCCAAATTTCAAGTGAAAACGTGAGATGTCCCGTCAGCCACTTCAAAAAGTATGGATTTGAGAAAAACACGTTTGAAGTTTCTGCTACCCGTTGTACAAAAATATTCATGCTTACGATCAATCGAGCAGTACAAAAAATATAATATTATAAAATAATAATAATATAAAAATAAATAATAATATAAATAATAATATTATAAAGTGAAATATTTCTTGAGAAAAGCACATTTGTAGTTTTTATTACCCGTTGTGCAAAAATATTCATACTTACGTTATGCGAGTAGTAACAAACGTTTCCTTCAAACATCTATAACTTTGCCAATTTTACGAATTCAAACAAATCCTTTTACACAGACATTTTCGAAAGCATATACTTTGAAAAAAATGTAAAAAAAAAAAGAAAAAATTGATTACCAGAATGCCCCCTTAATCTAAAACCGAAAGCAGCGTAGGACTAATTAAAATCTAACGGTAAGTTGGCCGTGCGCTGACACGTCTCGATAGAGATAACAAAGAACAATTTGCGCTTATTGTTAGCTGCGTGCGAGGATACCGCGGTTTCTAAAAAAAAAAAAAAACGGCAGCAACCGGAAAAATAAATGTCGCATCTTATTTTACGACAAAGAGTCAAGTAGAGATAGGCGCCAGTGATGTAGACGATTACGCACGGTCCGGCGAGCATGGTGTACCCGTCTCCCACAGGCGGCAGCCAGCTTTTTCCATTCGCGAACGGATGTCGTTAATGCCGGCTTCGAATTTCCATAAATGTTTGTGCAAATGTGCAGTGACGTACGGTGACAGGTGGCTAGACTCTCGGCTCGAGAAAGTGGACATGGAAATGCTGTTAATTATCGTTGGTCGACACTTCCAAACTTCGACTTCGTAAATCGAAGAATCTCGTTCGCAATCCCGTACCATTTCCGCAGTAAAAGTAAGCATCGAGCAACCGTCGCTGATAATAATCGATCTGACAATCTGAATTATCGGGAATGCGATTAGTTGATCGGTCGCGTGCAAATTTATATTTCGAAGCGAACCGTGGTAAAATTTAATTTAATTTAACGAAGAACAAAATGGGTTAGGAAGAAAATAGAAGTCTCTCTAAACGACAAAATACGAGAACACGAGAATGAGAGCTGAACAAGAGCTGCGACGTCGGTAACGGTTAAGTGGCATCGAAGTTGTTCTGAACGAGTTGTTCTTAACCAGGCGGCCGGACAGAAATTTTGACGATCGGTCATCCTGACATGCGTTTCAAAGCATCGTCCCGGTTCATCGGGGGGGTAGAACCGGGAGTCAGCCTCCATCGGAGACCAAGAATAGCTTGGAAACGTCTCTGCGGTTCGCGGAAGATGAATTACAGGGGAATCGTGAGTAGCCGGTTCGAAGAACGACGGCGATCGCTCTCGTCGCCGTGGTTGGAATTTGGAGCGTTGACAGCGGCGCCGTCGGGGGTAAGAAAAGAAAAGTATCCGCGTCCTTACTTTGCTGCGGAATGCTCGAATAAATTCAATGAGAGACGTTTGCACGCGTGTTGCCTCGCACGCGTGCGCCTGTCGCCGCGTCGAGCTCCTCTTTTTTCTCCTCTTCCGGCCGATCTCACGAATCCTGATCGATTGAACGATATTGGTAACGATCGGTTTCTTGGACGAGCAATGTCGAACCTTGTTTCCTCGTGATAATCGTATGGCTGTTTGATCGTGCCTCGATGCTTACTGTTTGAAGAAAATTAAAGTCTACGTACCTGGAGGAAATTACGTACAGTAAAGATTCTGTTTGACGTCGTTGAGGAATTGGGCTAGCTTTCGTGAAACGAAAAGTCATTAGTAAGATTAGATATTCGTGTTGCGAGATCTTTTACGATTCGACGCGTTAGTAGAGTCTCGTTAATCGACAGAATTATGTTTTCAACGCGCGCAGATCGTCGGAGAGGAAAAGAATTTCTAGAAACTCTTCGATCTGTGATTGCACAGAGTGAGCAAAGCAAAGGATCCGGAGAAGGGCACCGGAAGTAAGATCGAGCAATCAGTTCTCAGTTTGTACGTGGCAAAATGCCTGTCGTCTTGTCGCCGGTATAGATCCCGAGGGTTACGAGCTAGGGATACACGCACCGGTTTCGCGCGACGTGGAAGTTGAGCGAAGGGCACCTTGATCAACACTTTAATTGGACCAAGACATCGAGGCACCGAGAACGTGGACGGCCCTGGAGAATTTACCAGGCTTTATCGAATGAACGGACGATGGAGCGAGACGAAATCAGAAGGTCGGTGGAATGGAAGGTGGGAGCTGGGAAGGAGGGGGGTGTAGAGGAAAGATGGTGAGCGGCTGCGGAGAAAGAAAGAGGCAGGGAAAGAGAGAAAGAACGAGGGACAGTTTGCGGAGGCCAGGCGCCTGATTACTAGCCAACTCAGGACGCCAGACGTACATAACTAAATAACTTCCTAAATTCTATATCATTTCAGAGCGGGTTCCAACGGTGAAATAACGCGTCTAGACATCGCCGCCGAAGAAAACGAACAAACGTCGGTGGCAAAAAGAAAACAAGAAAAAAGAGCGAGCATTAATGCGTCGAGATTTATCATCCGCTGATTTATCATCCGAAGTCGTTTTCAATACGGGCTCTGTGAAATAAATTAATGGCGCCTCTCCGTTAATTTCCACCGGAGAGGACCGGATCGATTCAGATTTTCTTATCTTTCCAGGATACGGTGACAAATGGACGGATAATTCGAACGAGAGAGAAAGAGAGAGAGAGAGAGAGAGAGAGAGAGAGAGAGAGAGAGGTCGTTCTTTGGATCGTTTTGATTCTTCGTCGAAACAATTTGGCGGTGATTTGTAATAAATCTAACCGGACAATGGACACAGCTGTTGGAACGAATTTCTGATCCCTGTAGATTTACGAGGAGAATAGAGGGCGCTTATCGTGGGAAAAAAAGCATGATCGCTCAAATGGAATTAATTTGACTGCGTGATAATATTAGCATCATTCTCGATCTTTCTTCTCGTTGATGGTTCGACGAGTTTCCGTAGCCCACATTTCGTTCCGGTCGTGGAATACAAACGGCGCCGTAATAAAGGCAAATAAAGAGATACAAAATTCTGTTGCAGGCCCGCCGATGAACCCGCGACCGTTCGTCCCTGCGTGCTGAATCTAAAATCGCGTGAGTATAGCACACGAAAGAAGCGTATCGGTTATTATTCAGAACGGGAACGCGTGTCATCCACGGAGAACGACGGAGCAAATTCTTTCCTGCCCGACGACGGGGGACCGTTGTTCTTTAACATTCTTCCGTCATTCGACGACGATGACACGTCTCGCAACGAAGGCGTCGTCCCCTTTACAAGAAATATCATGATTGAAATTCGTCTTGGAATGTTGACCCTCCGGGGTGGAGTGCACGTCCGCACGGTGACTGGCGCTGGCGCTACGCAGAGGCGCTGGCGTCAGTCTGCTCGACCGCTCGAGTAACCGCGACCGACCGGCTGACGCCCCCCCTTCCCCTCCTCTTCCCGCCCAACACTACAATCATCAGACGAGTCCACCTTGCGCTTTGCTTTGCCCCCTTCTTTCTTCGGCTAACTTGCCCCCCTGTCCGCTTCTTCACTCCCTCACCCTCTGTCATCGCCACCTTCTCCATCCGCAGGCTCTTTCAGATCCTGCTCCAGTTGCACAGATCGTGGATCCATCGATCCTCCGCAAAAATTCCTCCGCCTATCCCAACCAGTTCCTAAAATAACGGCCATCTAGATCGTAATTTGTTCGATCGATCAAAGTTTTCCCCGCGCGGTGGAATTGTTCGTGTATATTTAATAAATTTCGTACGATTATTTCGATTCGGTCGGTGCGACTGTTCGTTCGCCGGAGGTGTAGGAAAAGAAAGGAGAGAAAGATGATGGGTCATGATTTTGAAAGGAGCGATAGCGAATACGTAGCGTACATGCGTGCGAGTGGCGCCCCTGGCGGCGAACGCGGGAAACAGCGGCGCAGCGGTGACGGCCATGTTTAACAATCTCCCTTGTGTGTTTAGTATGCTGCGGTCGGTGTATCGGCGCGCCGGGACGAGACGGACGGGACGAGACGAGCTCAGGCAGCGACGTGGTGGTGGAGGAAGAGGCGGTGGAAGTCGGTGTGCTGCGCGCTCGTGACGGAGACCTCGTGCGTACCAGTCGCGTCGTCGAGCGGAGCCGAGTCGAATCGTGTTACGGACGAAATCGGTGGCCTGTTCCTCGCAACAGTTTGCCTGCCCCCCCCTACGGGTGACGACGACAAGTCACATCGGTATATCTGTGCGCGCGAAGCGACGTGCGGGAAGCAACGAGCACCAGTGGAAGAAGAATCTGAAACAGCCTGTGCGTGTCTCAGTCGAAAGTGTAACACCGCGACGAGCAACTGAACTCGATATACACATACTCTTGCCGTTTTCCGCTGCGCCGAGCTGCAACTTTTCTTTCTTTCTTTCTTTCGTGTGTCGTCGGACACAGTCACCGGCGACACAGTGCGTGGTCGAAGAAGTTTTCAAACGGTGCAATCGAAGGCAACTTGGTGCGCTCTAGTACACATATACTCCCCTACTCTCATTTTTCTCTTCGTGCGCGTCGTTCTGCTCTCTTTCTCTCGCTTTGGCGGATAGCTGTCCCTATCCCATCAGTTTGCGTCTCGCTCGTACCATCTCGCTGGCTCGTCCGGGCAGCGATTTCAAGAATGTGACAGTGCGCGTCCTCGCGGTCGCCTCGCGCGAATAAGCCCGCAGGCCGGCGACGGCGATGGGTGACGAGCGACAAGTGTGTTACGGTGAGAACGGTGCGTGAACAACGGCCAGCGTGTAGGAAGGGGGAGGGGAGGAGAAAGACGGACGATGCCAGCGGAAAATGTCACTCGGTGATACGCGTATACGGATGACGGGGAGTGATCGACGCGACAATCTCGGATTTGAGGTTAAAGTGTCGTCGTCGTCGTCGTCGTCGTTGTTGTTGCTGTTGCTGCTGCTGTTGTTGTTCCTGTTCTTGTTGTTGTTGTTGTTGTTGTGTGGTGCCGGCTTGCCGGCATTGGCGACGGCACGAGCAGAGGAGCGTCAAGAGCGAAAACGACGGCACTGCTATCGTATCACGTTGGGCTTCTTCAACGTCCGTGAACCCAGGAACATTAATCAACAACCGTCCTGGTCGGAACGCCAGGTTGCCAGAGTCGTCTCGTAAGAGAAACGTAAACGATCAGAGGAGAAAAGATTCGCTGGCCCGATAGAAAACTTGTTTTTTTTTTCTTCGTGTCGGGCGAACCGCGCTACCGGATTGTATCACATATACGTGGGCACGCGTGTGTTGTGGCGTGTGTGCGTGTGCGTGTGTGTGTATCGGGTCGCGAGGTTAAGACAGAGCTGTCGATACACAACTTGTCTCGAGGAAAGTCAAGAACCGGTGGCGTGTTCTGCGCGCGCGAGAGACCGATTCCGCCACATCCAACGACTGGATAAGAAGTGTATCGTGATACTAATAGTGCGCGTCCGTAACCCCGCCGGCGACCGTTGCACCGTGACTCTGTGTCGAGAAGCATTTGTCGCGACGTTCGCGAAAATTCTTGTGTGCCTTTCCTCTCTCGCGAGAGAAACGAATTTCACGATTCGAGAGAGACACGCGCGTAGGTTCTTTCCGGCGTCTGAGGAAAAATCAAACGCGAGAGAGAAATCGTTCGAACTTACTTACCGGTGGAGAGCGTACCGCGAGAAATGAAGTGGCGCTTCAGCTGATCGAGATCGCCGGGACGAATTGGCGTGTGCTCGCTCTACGTGTAAACGAATCGCTGGGGCGCGCGCCGATCAGCCGGCCAGTTTGTGTGTGTGCGTACGTGCGTGTGTGTGGTCTGTGCGCACACGTAGGTAAACGAGAGTTCAAGGTCGGCGGACGATATTCTCGACCCAACCTTTCGGTTTCGTGCGTTTGAAAAAGTTACCCAGGACAAGGGGTAGAGGGACTAAGAGGACGAACCCTGCCTTTTTTCAACTCTAGGTCCGTCTCGTTTCCCTTTCCGTGAGCGAGTGGGAACGAGGACACTACAACAGAGTGAAAAGAACTGCGAGGGGGGAGCGTTTCTTGCCACACGCGTGGTGCCCGTCGTCACACTATTTCGGGACCGTGATCCAAAGTGCACGAAATCCGCAGGGAGCATAAATAAATATATACGCGCGTGTGCTGCTGGCCCCGTCAGAGGAGAGTCTCTCGCTCGGGACCGTCGCGTCGTTCGTCGGTGTGTGTGCGTCGACGGAAGAAGGCGGCGGTGTTTGTTTTTTTGTCTCTCTCTCTTTCTCTGTCTCTGTCTCTCTCTCTTTCTCGTTCTTGACAGAGTGTACGACCGCAGTCTCTACACAGTGTGTATACATACCCTTCTCTCGTGCTCCGGTTTCTTTTTTCTTCTTTTCTTCTTGTTTTGTTTCGTCGCAGCAGTCGTCACGTTGGCGAAAGAGAAGAGCGGCGACGCGGGCAAGCTCCTCGGCAAAGAAGACGACGAGAGAGAAAACGAGGCGCATAGGAGGAGGCTGCTGGTAGTGGAAACTGTGGAGGAAGAGGAACGAGAGGAGGGGGCGGTGGAGGTGGTGGAGGTGGCGGCGGTGGAGGCGGAGGAGAAAAGTGGCGTGTCCAGTACGCGGTGGTGTGACGGTGTCGCGTCCGGCACCGATTCCAAATATCCCTCATTTTCCGCGCGGCTACGTTGAAAAGTACTGGCCCCCAAATGCGCGTACCGCAAATCCTGTTTCATGTTCATGTTCTGGAGCAAACGGACGGCGCTCACTAGACGTCTCCTAAAGGCCAAGGTCCGTGGAGAGCATGAAACCGAGTGTGAAGCTCAAGAGGATTCGTCACGTATTCATCGCGCAAACAACACGAGCGGCACCGAGAACGACACGACCGGCAACGTGACGGCAACGACGGGCCGGACAACCAGAGGAGCGCGTGGAGCGTCGTCAGGAGGAGAAGGAGGAGGAGGTGGTGGAGGAGGAGGAGGAGGAGGAGGAGGAGGCGGGGGTGGTAGCAAAGGGGGCCGCGTCTCGTCGAGTAGGCTGCATCAAAGTTGCTGCGGCGGTGATCAGAGCCCGGACGATGACGACGATTCCGTTCGTACGTTGAGGTGCAAGGAGCTCCTTAAATCGCTCAAGGAGAATCAATTGGAGATGTTACTCACCGCAGTGGAGAGTTCTGGTGCCGATCTCGGCTCGTGCGTCCTCGTGCCGCGTCAGCACGCCGAGGAGGACGGCTACGAGGCCGAGCAGCCGCAACAACAACAACAACAACAGCAGCAACAACAATGCTATCGTTATCACCGTTACCACCATCACCACCACTACTACCATCACCCTACGCATCATCACCACTATTATCACCGGTATCACCGAAGCAAGCATCATCGTTCCTCGTCGTCGGAGAACGTTGGCGGTGACGATCAGAACTCTGGATCGGACGACTCGCGCGCGTCGTCGATAAGGCCGGATCGACGAAGAGTGCCAACACGCGGCTCCCTCGACAACGCGCCGGTCGACCCTCACCTGCTCTGCTGTCAGATCTGGCGGTGGCCGGATCTTAATCAGTCGTCGGAGCTCAAGAGACTTCCTGTCTGTCATTCCGCTAAAGACCCTGTATACATATGCTGCAACCCTTACCACTGGAGCCGGCTTTGCAAACCCGGTAAGCGATCTCTCTTCTCTTTTTCTTTTTTCCTTTCTTTCTTATCTGTCTCTGCGAATGATTGTACATACTTGAAAGAGCATAGACAACATGATGGAACGAACGTTGTTACTTGTTGAACTCTTGCTTTTTACGCTCGGTAGAGTGACTATAGAAGACTATAGAGAAAATCGCCATGTAAATTAATACGATCGAGCGAATCGGGGGATTTGGAAATGTTCAATCAGCGTCGTGTTCGAGATTATCTGTGGATAAGTTGGAACACGTAAAGCAGATAATTTCTACGGAATAAAGAGCGAATGAGTAGATTCGCTTGTTGACCGTACGTGTACGCAAAGGTTGGGAGATCATGAGATTAGTATCTTCGTGTTATTAGTATGTACGTATTTATAATCGAATTTTCTTGTAGCTAGCAAGCTTCCGACCTTCTCTTTCTCTCTCTCTCTCTCTCTCTCTCTCTCTCTCTCTCTGTTTCAATGAACATTTAACGAACTTCGTTTCTTACTTTGTTTACAAATAGACACGTTTAACTCAGATTTGAATATTTTCTTTTTTTACGAAATTATATATATATATATATTCAAAAATATTTTACAACCTGTTTAATTGTTAGAAAAAGAAAAGAATTGTATGAAAATGAGAGTTTTAGAAAAATCAGTGTAATTATGTGTAGAAAATCAACGTTGCTACGTACGGTCGAACGTGGCAGTTGATTTTTGCAAGCGCTGGCAAAATAAAAATAGAGATGACCTTACGTATTCCGATAAGTTTGGGGCAATTGTCGCGCTTTGAAAGCCGATAATTTAATTATAGAGATGTAATAACGTACTGGCTAATAGATTTCATTTGTTTTGGTTCGCGCAAGCGCAGATTACGAACTATCGCGTCGCGCTCGCGTCACACTGCTCTCATAGTAACTAACTAAAATCCGATATGAAATTAATCATTAACGTTTCCAATTTTGCCCTCCCCTCGGTCCTGACGCGCCGAGAAAATGAAACGAAATGGAAACGCAAGACGGGACGCGTGTTTCGTAATTTGTTAATGTACCGTGGCTCTTGCGTTTCGTTAGAGGCATCAAATTTGCGTGAAACTCCACATTAATATTCGTTCAACTGTTACATTTAGCCATCGATTGGTCGCATTTCGTCGAGTGGAATTCGTCGTTTGTTGAAGAATTTGTAATTTCGTAATGGAGGTACGCAGAGTCGGGAATCTGCGTTCGAATTGAACAGCAGAATTGGAGTGCCTAACGCTCTCGATCGCGAATTTTCCATTTAGATCATCGCACGTTTAGGTCGCGAAAATTAACCACTTGCGCTGGCAACGGATTGCGGACCATAACGAGCGACCAAACCGTATACGAATAATTCGCCGCTTTCTTTTTGAACTCGTCGGTATGATATCACTGGACAGAAATTATCGAGAAGTAATAAATTTATTATTTGTTCTGCCTATTTTGTTTTACTTAAATATACTTAAAACTGAGAAAATATGAATTATAATAATAATTTATAATTATAATGTTAATTATAATATAATTTAATATAATTAATAATTATACGATTAATTATAATATAATTTAATGTAATATAATTATAATTATAATATTATAATATTAATTATAATATAATTTTGGGACAAAAAATTGTAATATTTTCTCAGTTTTAAGTATATCTAAATGTAACCCAGACAAAACAAATGATAAGTTTATTATTTCTATTATATGTAGTTTATTATTATATATAATATATTATTATATTATTGCTTATTATTATTATTATTATTATGTAATAGTAAGTTTATTATTTCTACGATAAGTTTACTACTTCTTAATAATTTCTATCCAGTGATGTCATACCGTCATGAGTTCAAAATAAAAAGAAAGTGACGAATTATTGTATGCTGTTCGGTCGCTCGTTATGGTCCGCGAACCGGCGTTGCCAGCCCAAGGGGGTTGAAACTGAGAAAATGTTGTAATTTTGGAACAAGAAATTCTCGACGTGCGTGACACGTCATTCCAGCGCAAGAGGTTAAAGTCGGGACTAAACAAATTCCAACAAATTCATTGGTTTATATGTTTACTTTCTATCGGAGCCGAAGAGCAACTCGTGTCCATTAGTCACGATTGGCAAGCACACAAGGCGGACATCCGCTTAAGCGTCGAAATAAAAACCCGTAACGGAATCTGACGTTAAGCGTCGTTGAGACGCCTCGGGAAATCAGCTGTCACCACCTGATAAATTCCGAGAATAGCCGATTCATGAAGTCATCCGCGTATTACTATTATGCCGCGGAATACATCGTAAATATAGAATTCCAATAAATTAGCAGAGCCACGCGGCGAACAATGGGCGTTATTGTCTCCGGCAGCCATTCCACAATTATATCGTAAATTGTCACCGGCAACAGCCGAGTATAAAACTGTTCGTCGAACGTATTATAGCGAATTCCACGCGCGCGTTACGTACGTGACCGCGGCGAACGAGCGCGAATCTCTGAGCATCTACAAATCCCCATTGGAAAAATTTAACGGATCTATTAACTTATTAGCTTGCAATTAGTTGCGATGCCAGAGAATGTTCGCGATTGGCTGCGACCGTGCTGCTTGTACGATCGAGTTTTGAGCTTGATGGATATTCCGTAGTGAGATTTATTTTTATCGCAATGAACTATAGACTACAGTCGATAATTACTTGTTTGAAATCTATCACGATCTATCACCTGACGCAATTTCTGCAGTGTGTAGCGGTTATTAAAGCCCTTGCGCTGGCAACTGGTTCGCGGACCATAACGAGCGACCAAACCGTATACAATAATTCGTCGCTTTCTTTTTCTTTTGAACTCGCCGGTATGATACTACTGGATAGAAATTATTAAGAAGCAATAAGGTTATCGTTTGTTTTGCCTGGGTTACATTTAGATATATTTAAAACTAAGTATTTATATATACTTAAAACTAAACTCTATATATATATATATATAGAGTTATAAAAACTTAAAACTAAATTTTATATATACATATATATATAAAACTAAACTATATACATATTAACAACTTAAAACTAAATTTTATATATACTTAAAACTAAACTAAGAAAATGTTGCAATTTGGGACAAAAAATTCTCGACGTGCGGGACACGTCATTCCAAGAGGTTAACGGTACAACTAAAAAACTTGAGCTGAGAATTACCATCAGAGGTGTCAAAGTGAAAAAAATAGAATACTAAAGAACTTAGGCATAGAATTACCATCAGAGGTGTCAAAGTGGAAAAAAAAAAAAAAAATAGAATACACGAGGTTTTGTTTGTGTGTTTTATGAAAAATCATTGAAATCTTTAAACATACACTTTTCAATTTCACATCTATGATATATAACAAAAATTATGAATTGGTCATTGATTTGACCACTTCTGGCGTTAATTTTGTTTCACATTTTTCCTCAAAGAGTCACTTTTTCGCAAACAGAGGAGAACAAATAACGCAAATGCTCTCTGGTACACGTATCGGCGTTCGTCGCGCGTTCGTGTTACGTAGTTGTACTTACACGTCTCGTAGGAAATGCCACCTTCAAACCGCGTGTCTCGTCGCCGGGACGTGTGAAACCTCCGGCGTCGTTTCGGCGACGTGCGAATAATGTAACCACGCGAAAGCACCACGTTGCAACGGCACACAGGCGTTGCTCCGCCGCGAACCAAATGCTAATCGCGGTTGCTGGTCGCGCGCTAACGAACCCCTCGGTTGCCACGGGTCAAACGGGTGAAACAGGTAATTTATTACCGATACCGAGGAGGATTAGTCGATGTCCAGCTGTGCTCGGGTTCCTAGGTAAATGGGAATACAAGCGTTTCGTGCGCGGAATAAAAAAGCTATTCGGAGCTGTTTGAGCTCGCGTTTCAATGCGACGAGGCGACGGGCCTTTTTCTTTTTCTCTTTCTCGTACGTACGAGCGCAACACAAAAGGACAACAAGAGCGGAATAGCGAATGGTATCGATACGTGTGAGCGTTGTCGATTGTCCACGGTCGCGCATCGGTAGCGGCCGCGAACTGTAATAAATTTTGATGAAAGCGGACGTTTCGCTCCGCCGTAGGAATCGGCAATGAACCCGTCGCTTTTGTGTGCCCCCTGTCATCGAGGCTCAACCGCGGATTCAACGTGAAAAATCACTTCGGGCATTCACGTCGTCCCGATGTTACGTTGGATACGCGTGATTTCGAACGAATCTGCAGGGTCTGACATGAATGTCGAGGCGTTTTATCCGGGGGTGATCAGGGTTGACCGTGCGTATATATGTATAACAGATGATCGCTCATCTTTTGGAGCTATTCAAGAGTTCTAAAGGTAATAATAATGTAATATAATGTGATATTGTATTCTATATAATAATATATTTTATGTAGCAATATAATATACTATAATATAATAATATAATAGTATAATATAATAACGTTCTATGTACCTAGTAATATAATATATAATAATATATTCCAAGAATTTTAAGATAATAACAGTATAACATAATATAATAATATATTCCAAAAATTCTAAGGATAATGATAATATAATATGGTATTCTATATAATATTCTATATAATAATATAATATAATAACATATTCTATATACCTAGTAATATAATATGTTATAATATAATAATATATTCCAAAAATCCTAAGGATAATGATAATATAATATGATGCAATAATATTCTATATAATAATATAATATAATAACATATTCTATATACCTAATATAATATATTATAATATAATAATATATTACAAAAATTCTAAGATAACGAAAGTATAATATAATACAATAATGTATTCTACATAATAATATAATGTAATATAATAATATATTCCAAGAATTCTAGGAACAATAATAATATAATAACATTAATCGGAACTTGTTTCGCAAATTACAATTTGAATTCATTTCGTTTTTCAATTATTTTTGCAAAGTCGAAGACCGTCACGTGTGTAAGAACATTCTAATA